CACTGACATAGTCATGTGGGATCAAAACGGATCCCTCCAAAATATCTGTCCCATGGAGTTGAAATTCTAGAAGAGGAAACGCAAGAAAATGGCACTAGCATTCACCTTCCCTATTTGGAGCCTTTCCTTCTGTAGTTCTTAGTCATGAGGGACTTAGTCTATACCATGTCCCCAAGTTCAATGTGGGATTCCCAAAACTTTCTCTTTTCCAAGACTTACAGACTGATACCTATTGAAAATGCTTTCATGCAGGGAATGGACTCTGGTTGAGAGGTCGTTATGTCTGTATGCGTGCTTTGTAGGTGGGGGCTGTGATCATGTACAGAAGGCTTAGAACTACATTTATCTAATGATTTCTGTATTTCAGAAATTTGGGCACAGCTTAGCCAGGTTCCCTGGCTCAGGTGCTTTAATGAGGCTGCAATTAAGATGTCAGCCAAGGGTGCAGTCATCTGAAGGCTCAATCAGAGAAGGATCCACTTCCAAGCTTCAGTTCCTCCTCGTGGGCTGTTGGACTAAGGGCCTTGATTCCTTGCTGGATGTTGGCTGGAGTCTGTCCTCAGTTCCTCGCCACATGGGCCTCTTCGTAGGACAGCTCGAAACATGGCAGCTGGTTTCCATCAGAGTGAGCAAGTGAGAAGAGCCAGAGAGAAAGAGTGCAAGGAAGGCGAAGTCATGGGCTTTCACACCCTGATCTCTGAAGTGACATCTCATCACTTTTGCTGTATTCTATTTATTAGAAACAAATCAGTAGGTCCAGCCACACTGAAGAGGAGGGGATTATACAACAGCATGAATTCTAGGAGGCAGGGATATTGAGAGCTGTTTTAGAAGTTCCCTATCATATCTTAGCCTGAATTTTGAACTATCTTTTGACGTGGGACACAGTGTGGCAGACAGATAACTATGTGGGGATTCCATGTAGCACCTGAAGATTTAATTAAAAGGCAGTATTGCATAGTAAGAAGAGCACAGACTTCAGGTTCAGAGAGGCATCTGTTAGAATCTCAGCTTTGGTATTTGCCAACTGCATAACCTTAGACGTAGTTTCTCCAAGACTCAATTTTCTTATCAGAAAATGGTGAAAAATAACATCTACCATGTAAGGAGTTTTGAGGATCGAAAATTCACTTGTGCACTTTGACAAGGCACTTGTCAAAATGTGGATTCCCAGGTTGCTCCCCAAGAAATTCTTATCCAGTAGACTTGGGGTGGCACCTAAGAATTTCTATTTTTAATAAGTACCCAGTTGTTTGTAGGTACATATGAAAAGTACCAGTATGTGGTAGCTGTTAATTTGCATATTAACAGTAATTCTGTAATTATTATTGAGGAGCTGTATGTTTGAAAAGGGTCAACTGTAGTATAAAGTGGAAAGCAAACTGTACTGAGGATTAGTAGATATATGAGTTCCAGCCCTTGTCTGACACTTATTTTGCTATGGGATTTTAGGCACAGGGCTGTGCAATTTTTCTAGGCCTCTTTTTTTTAAAATCCCCTCTAGCCTTGATACTCCCTGTTTATGTAAAGAAGAAATAATGATGGCTAGGATAGGATCTTTTTAGAACTCCCTTGGTTGGAGAAACAAGTGCAAGGGCTTCCATAATGAATCTCTTCTGAATCTCTGGGTTTCCTAATATTTCTTCCTGAAGACTATTCCTTGGAGCCTCTCATTCCTCTACTCTTCTTCTAATTCATATGACCTCAGCATCTCTGTATATAATGAAATATATCTGAAAACAACCTCATTTAAAGGAATAAATCTATTAAGGAGCTAAGAACTTTCTGGCGTGAAATGAAAAATATTGATTGCTTCCCACCTGTTAGCAATGAAATCCCATTCAGTTAATTAACCTGCTCGGAGATAAAGTTTATTTTTACCCTTCACTTTCAGCTCCAAATCTTTAAAACCATTAAAACAAGTACCTGGTCAATGAATAAATCTTCTCCCAGAGTGGCATTCAGGGCCCTCTGTAATCTGGCTCCAGCCTACCTTTCTTTTTGACTTTATTTCTAGCTACTTACCTTCAAGCACCTTCCACCCCAGCCAAATGGAAAAGCTAAAGTATTCAGTGCTCCCACTGCTGGGAATATGCTTTCCTCCTCTAAATTCCGCATATTTTAACTCAGTTCAAATACCACTTCTGGAAAAGGGCTTTCCCAGAGCTCTGGCATCTCCCTCCACCTCCCCCCACCTCTTCCCACCTCTCATAATTGCTGCCAACCTGTGAGCATTATCCCCCTATTCTGAGCACTCCCGAACTTATATACCTTTGTAGTATTTATTATTTTGTGCTTTATATTATGATTGTGTATATATTTATAGTGCTAAACCTTTAAGAATGCAACTCCAACCAATTTATTTTTGTGCTCCACACATCTTTCCACATAATGCCTTACCTATGAATGGTGTTCAGTAAATATTTTTTGAATGTTTAAATGGAGACCATTGATCTAACATGTTCTTTATGGTTGTTTTTACTCTTGGGACTCATGATTCAACACCAACATAAGACGTATCTAATTTAGTGAGGTGTTTTTCCAGATTTACATTATATTCAAAGCAGGCCTCTAAGGCCTCTCAGTCTTTGTGAAGACAATCTGTTGTTGCTTCCCATCCTTAGCAGCTTTCTCTTTCTGGAGATCTTTTCACTTTCAGAGGAAGGGCTGGAAAAGACAGTCTTGTTATGAATATCACTCATTTCTGTGACTCTGAATATAGGCTTCATATGGCTTTTCTATCTCCTTCCCCAATTTACCTGTGTGACACACTTGGAATTAGCATTTTAGGAGCACAAAACCCTAAAACTTAATTTAGGTAAAGCAGATAGTCAGTCTTGTTTGAGAGCACTCACAGGTATGTGTCTAGGCTGAAGGGGAGAAATATGATAGCTTCACTGAAACAAAAAGGACATTTATTTATTTGGTGTCCATTTTCTTGATCACCTACTGATCTTCAGGTGCTGTGTTATGTGTTAATGATATAAATATAAATACCGATCCCTGCCTTCAAGGAGCTCTGACTCACATGAAGGGAGATAAATGTATGATGAGATAATTGTTACAGAGTGTGATTTATGCAATGCCAGAGGTAGATAACTGGGTGATGTGGAGCACAGATTTTCTCTGGGGGGAGATGGAATGGTTTAAATAAAGAGGTTCTCTTTTGCAGCATGGTGTTCATGCTGACATCAATAAATAAGTATTATTTTGTGGTTATTAAAAGCATCAGCGTCACCTTCAAACCAATCACCTTGGGCCAGGTCTCAGCATTCACAGTGGGTGCTGGGACATGACTCAGACAACCAGCCATGCTGGGTTAACCAAGACAGAGACATAGGTCCTTGCTCCTTAGAGCTTGCAGGAATGGATCATTCATAGAGATGACAGCAAAGGGGTAGTTTTCCTATGATTCATTGGGCTGAACTTCATGCCAATGATATTTTGGTGCAGAGATTTTGTATGCTACTGTGTCTATGGAGCCAATATTTCTAAAGGCATTACCACAGCTGCTTAGATGACTCATTGAAATGTCTTTTCCAAGTCTATGACCCTAGGGTGTGTGTGTGTGTGTGTGTGTGTGCATGTGCGCGTGCATGGGAGAGAGAAAGAGGGGTTATAAGGAAAGGCAAAAAAAAAAAAAAATTCCTAAATTTTAAATGAACAAAGTTACAGCTGCGAATACTGAGTTTTTATACAGACCACTTTAAGTTTCCTTCTTTTTCTTGCTCTTCATATTTAGGGACACTTTTCTGCTCACTAGAAACTCCTTGAGAAGGGTAAGGTAGGGTGACATGAGTCAGAAGCAGAAATAGGAGAGGAAATTAAAATCCATTTCAAATGAAGGCTTGGATGGAGAGGAAGCTGGAGATATTGGTTCAGATGAGGCTGTAATATTGCTATGGATTCTTAAGATTCACAATTGAAAGCGGAGTCTGGCTTGTGGTAATGATAACCGTATATAGGGGTGACGGTGGCCACAAGCTATTAACCAAATATGGATCCAACACTTGCTACATGCCATCACTGACTTAGGCACATGGGATCAAAATGGATAAAAAGAAAAAAATCTCTGCCCACTGGAGCTTAAATTCTAGAAGAAGAAACTGACAAAAATGGTGCTAGCATCCTCCTCCCTGTTTGAAAATTTGGAGCATTTCCTTCTCTTGAGGTCTTAGTCATGAGGCACTTAATCTCCGTCAAGTCCCAGCTTCATTGTGGAAGTCACAAAACTTTATCTCTTTGAAAGCTTGCAGACTGTTACCTACTTGAAATGTTTATATGAGCAGGCAAATGGACTCGGGTTGAGAGGAGGGTGTCTCTGTGAAGGTGCGTTGAGCGGGCCATGAGAGTGTACAGAGGGCAGATTCTACAACGTACCATCCACACCGACACTTCCCAGCGGGGGGAATGCACGAGTTCGTACCTCCGCCAGTCGCCTTTCTCCCTCTTTCTCTTACTCTTCACTCTGCTCCCTCCTCCCTCCCTTCCTAAATCCCTCCCTCTCTGCGTTACCTCCCTTTCCCCTGGTCCCTCCCTATCTCCTTCCCTCGCACAGTTCTTCTCTCCTCCCTGGCTGCCTCTCCCTCTAGCCTCTTTTCCTCGCGTCCCCTTTCCCTCCTCCATCCCTCCGCGCGTCTGCGTCAGGCCCCACTGGCGTGACGCGCGGGCTGGGTGGGAGCTGTCCACTCGCCGGGGTGCTGAATGCAGCGGCGGCGGCGGCGATCGCTGAGAGCCTCCTCGGCTCCAGGAACCTTGTTTCCAGTCCTCGGACGGTCAGCTCACCGCCCCGCCACCTCCCTTCCAGCACCACCCCTCTGGGAACTGAGCCAGGGGGGCAGCAGTAGCGGCGGCGGGTGCTGAGCAACGGCGGAAGACGAGACAACACCTGGCAGCAGCCTGGAATCTGATTTGCTTCCTCTCGGCTTTTATAAGAGATATATTTATACACGGTTTTGGGGAGTCTCGAGGACCAAGCTGGAGCCAAGTGCCGGCTGCCTCCCACCTCGGCCACGCTGCTTCGCTCCCCACTCCCCACCTTCAGCTGGCACTGCAAACAAGCCTTACCTCGTTGCATCTGCCAGGAGAGGTAGCAACGGCGAGCCCAGCCAGCCAGAAGCAGCGGAGAGGAGGGAGGGGCGGGGTGGGGTGGGGGTGCAGGGAGTGGGCCGAGGCCGCCCTTGGTGGGGGTAGCGGGGGCAGAGCTGCGGAGAAGACCGGGCAGCCGCCCTCTTCCACTCCCACCCTCCAGAAGCGCTCTTTCCTGATTATTTGAGAACCGAATTATTCCTCTAGTATTATTGCATTTTTTATTACCCCCCCTCAGTCCCCAGCCGCCCCCACCCCCACGCCTGCCTCGCCTTTGGTTGCATGGCAGCGCTGCCCCGGCGCGGGGGCTCAGGGCTGGCCCCCCGGGAAGGAGGAGGAGGAGGAGGATCATGAAGCCGGGAGTCGCGACCGCGCCGGACGGCGGGCAGCAGCCAGAGGACGAGCCGGAGCACCCCCCGCCCCGGAGACACCCGGACACCGACCAGCAGTCGCCTCCGCCGCCACAGCAGCCGCGGCGGGCGCGGGCAGACTCGGAGCCGGAGGAGGAGGAGGGCGACAACGACCCAGAGGAGGAAGAAGAGAAGGCGAGGCCACTCGGCCGCCCGGATCTGCCCTTCTCTCGGCTCTTGCTCCTGGCCCCAAGGGACCTTTGATGGAACCAAGGGGAGGGGGCCACGGATTTACGGACTGCAGCAGGGCTGGGCTGGGGGCTGAGATAATGTAACTACTCCTTTCTCCTGTTCCCTCCCACACGCCCCTCTTCTCTACCCCTTTCTCCCTTCCACCGCCCTCTCACCCCCATACACACCCTTCCTCTAGCCAGGATCTTAATGCTCAGGAAGAAGGCGGTTCTGCAAGGGTTAAAAGATCTTTTCTTTTTCTCCCTTCCTTTCCCCTCCCTAACCCTTCGTTTTCCCACCTCCATTCTAATTGGCTTTCCCCTCTTCGGTGTAGCCCTTTGGCTGCAGAGGCAAAGCACAAATCCCTCGCCCAATCTCACCTGCAACCCCCTCCTCCGACACACACACACCCAACTGCTCTTTCAAAGGCAACTCTGGTGCTTCTGGGGCTTCATTGCCCCAGTTTTCTGCCCAGGAGAATTAAAACTTCTCCCAACCTCCTCTTCTCCCCCACTTTGACCCCCCTCCCCCAGAATTTCCTACTACCTGAGAAAAACTCTTTTTTCTCTCACACATGCAGTCCTCAATTCTACATTGAGCTAGTTTTCCCTGAGCCCAGCTCAATCCACTCCAACTTTGATTTATAGTTGTCCCCACCCTTTTATATAAAAGAAAGAGATTTCCTACTGCCTAGGAATTTGAGAAGAACCCAACAATCCTTTTCTGGGGAACTTTTTCACAATTAGACATTGATCTTAAGGCTCTGGTGACTATTCACAGCACTTCTTCTCTCCTCCTGCTCCTACCAGTGTCCCCAGGTCAACGGCAGAAAGGAGACACCCTGAGCACAGCCTGAGATTGGGGTGGGGTGGGGCACAAGGGCAAGAAAAACTTTTTCATTGTTGAGCTTTCCAGGTAGAGTTCAGAATCAATGACTCATAGTTCTCAGTCCTAGGAGCAATTTATTTGCTACTTGGAGGGGTTGTAAGAAGAGCCAGTGAGAAAGCAGACCCCCTCCATAACACAGATACACTGTGGACCCCCAAACCCATCCTGTCCTTCTCATCAAAAACTCAGCTGTCCCTCTCGGGCTCTCTGCTTCCACTGGGCACATGCTGATGCCCCTGTGTGGGCTGCTCTGGTGCTGCTGCTGCTGTGGCTGGTACTGCTGTGGACTGTGCGCCCCAGCTCCCCAGATGTTGCGCCACCAGGGTCTCCTCAAGTGCCGCTGCCGCATGCTCTTCAATGACCTGAAGGTTTTCTTACTGCGGCGCCCTCCTCCAGCGCCCCTGCCCATGCACGGCGACCCCCAGCCCCCCGGTTTGGCGGCCAACAACAACACCCTTCCGGCTCTGGGCGCCGGGGGGTGGGCAGGCTGGAGGGGCCCTCGAGAGGTGATGGGCAGGGAGATCCCTCCTGTGCCACCTCCACCACCTTTGCCACCTTCCTCTGTGGAAGATGACTGGGGTGGCCCAGCCATAGAGCCACCTGCCTTGCTGCTCAGCAGTGCCTCCTCAGATGACTTCTGTAAGGAGAAGGCCGAGGACTGCTACTCACTGGGCAGCAGCCTGGACAGTGGTATGAGGACCCCACTCTGCCGCATCTGCTTCCAGGGGCCAGAACAGGTGAGTCCCCTTTTCCCTTCTCCTATGCCCTGTGGTATCTCCAGGTCTTGCAGATTGCTACTGGCCTGCTTGCCCTGGGGAGCCACTATGCTGTCTCTGGTGTGAGGACTATATGTTTTAAGAGCTCCTTATTGATGTTTCCTGTGGTTAAGTTTGCCCAGTGGGTGTCTGGTTCCTGATGGAGCCTGTTTGCTGGCTCAATTTTACTCTAGGTTTTGCATTTTCCTTCCAATGCTAGTGTCTTCAATTCCATCCAAAAATTCCGCAAACATCCCCAGAATAGAAGATGAAGAAGCAATGAAATGAAGGGAGTTAGTGGTGCATTCATGCTGGTTGCCAAGCTAGCCTTTTATCTGATTTGCGTTAGCAGCCTACCTTCAGTCCCAGATTCAAATTTCTTCCTTCTCTGAAAGTGCGCTGAGATGTTGTTCTCTTCCCCCGTTCTCATAGGTTGAAATCCAGCAAGACTGTTCTTTCACTTTGAGACCGCCTTCTCCCATGGTACACTGGCATTCTCAGCAGTATGTTCTAGCCACTGAGGAGGAAATGGAGAGGGATTCTAGGTCACAGACTATACGGTTTGCTAAGATACTTCTTGGCAGACTCAAATTTTTCTATGTTGAAAGCAGGAAGGTAAATGGGGGTGTGAGAGAGTTTAAGGGACATGAAGAAGGGGGTAGAGTGTCTTGTCACATCTATTCCTCTTCTCAGGCCTGAAGCTCATTGACTTAGAATGTCTGTTAAACTCTCCCCATCCGGGATAGGGCCTGCCAAGAATCTCATGGACCAGACATTTCTCGAGTCTGGTGGGTTCTTCCTACCCAACCCATTCAGATTTTCACAGACACCTCTTTTTACTGCACTTACAATCTAGTGTCTGCAATTCTGGACAGCATGTGTACATTCTTCAAGGGCCACAATTGGTGGCAACAGTTTCCAAAGAATCCCAGATAGAAAGGCTCACCTGAAATCTGATCTAGTTAGTGATGCTGGAGAAGGGACATTCAGTTGCAACCTGGGCAATGTTGTGTGCTCACATCAGCCGCTTCCTCTGTAGTTTCCCAAAGAGGAAGGGAGACTTCTGGGTGCTCCTTGAACAGGTGGTTGTGCAGTAGGATGCCATGCTGGTGCTCCTGACCGGCTCTGGTTCTTGCTGACGGCTTGCTCTGTGAGATGCAGGCTTAGCTGACATTTTCATTCATTTTTTTTTCTCTTTACTCTGAATGGACAAAGCACTTTAGGGACTAGTGATGCCTGGGGCCACAGCCTGAGCATCATGGGGGAAAGTGTGAATAAGTGTCCCTGAGAGGCTGAGGGCTGGGTTCCTCCTTCATGTCACTAGAATTACCTGAAGTATCAAAAAAAGTGTTGTCCGGAGTTGAAAACTGTTCAGCGAGAAGGTCCAGGATGCCTTTCTTTCAGCCCTTCTCTCCACTTCCAGCAAGAGGCTCTGGCAGAGCTACCAGCTAGAGTGGCTTGGCTAACAGCAAGAGGGGTGCCTCATTTGGGGGTGCTCTGGGTCAGAATCTTGCCCCAATCAGGAGCCTCATCTTTCCCAAAAAAAAGAATTATTTAGCTTCCTAACCTCCTAAGCTATTTCTTTCTTCTCCCACATGGGCTGGCTCAGGTCTGCATGTCACAGGGGCTGCTGGGAGTGTGGCTTCTGGCAAGAGTACTTGTTTGGCTTGTCTCTGGAAAACACCAGGTCTTGGAGGTGTCCCAGGATAATATTTTACCTGCTGTGTGAACTTCTCCAAATAGCTTTACACCTCTGGGCCCCTTTTCCATCTTCTATGATTTAGAGATATCTTTTTCTGTCTCCCTCCTTTTTTAGAGGTGTGTTGGGAGGATGAAGGAGTTAATGAGTATGAAAATATCTTGGAAGGGATTAATATAAAACGAACACGTATTTTGATAATGAAAAAGCTGTATTTTATTGCAAAAAGAAAAAGAAAAGGATCGTTGGCAATATTGTGAAATGCCCTCATGTGATACAAGGTCTGGTGGGAGGTTAGGTGCTTTCCTTTCTTGTGCATTATTTTTATGATGTGTCATGAATAAAGCATTGAATAAAAAAGGTAACGCCAATAAAGGAATGGGCTCTATTATGTGGGAGGACTAGGGGGCTATGTCTGTATTAAGATTGGATCAAATCAAGCCCTTCCTGCGTATGATTATTATGTTTTGGAGGTTTACTTTATCTGTGCAGGAGCTAAGAGGTTTTAATGAGATTGTGTTATAGTAGTAATAAGAGTAATGTGAGTACTACATTAGATATGGAGAACACAGTTTCCCACTTTCTTCTCATGTTTTTCACAGCATTTCAATGAGGAAGGGAGACAAAGGAGAGGAGACAGGGGAAACTCTAGAGAAGGAAGAGAAAGAGATAGCGACGGAGACAGAGAGGGAAAGGCAGAGGAGTGAGGAGGGAGAGAGGGAGAGAGGAAGACAGGGATAGGAAGACAGAGAAGCTGAGATTTCTGCATTTTAGTTTCTGTTAGCAGAGAGCTGTACAGCAATTGTCTACACATGGCCCTGGAGGGAGTGTGGTTTGCAATCTTAGTAGCTGAGTGTCTTGGTCTTATCCCTGCCTAAACAAAGGAACTAAACAGCACCCCCACCGTCCCCCATCGCCACATACACACTCATCACCCCAGTCATTTGCTACTGCTCTAGGGACTAAAAGGCTGCCCAAAATGAAGATCTCTTCCCGCTAAGAGCTTGCAATATATGTGGTGAGGGGCAACAGGAGGCTTCAGCTAGTTCCACCTTTGCACATACCTACAGAGGACTTTGTATCCATCCATTCATGCATGCATTTATTTAACAAATGTTTATTGGGCACCTACAGTGTGCCAGATGCTGTTCCAGGCACTGAATATTCAGTAGTGATCAAAACAGATGAGATTTCTGCTCTCCTGAGGCTGACATTCTAGTGGAGACACAGAAATAGACAAGTTAACTAGTAGAAAAATAAGGTAATTCCAGATAGCCTTAAGTGCCGTGATGAAATTTAAAAAGGAACGTGAGTTAGACAAGAATGAAAGGGAGGGGGCGGGAAAGATCCAGACAGACAGCGTGATCAGGAAAAGGCTTCCTAAGAATGTGCCATCTAAGCTGACACCTAAATGCAGGACCCAGTATTGCACAGGTCTAGGGGAAGAGCATTCCAGGTGGAGGAGACAGCAAGTTCAAAAGTCTGAATGTGAACAAGCTTAGCATGTTTGAAAAACAAAAAGACAGGAGGAGAAGGAGGGATAGAGTGTGAACGCATGATTTGAGCACCTACTTGGCTCCTGCTGGAAGGCTACTGAGTAGCCGCCCTCTTTCTCTCACCATTCATTCATGCTGGATGGGGGCAGGACCTATGGACACTGCAGGACAGGAACCCAGCTTGCAGCCCCTCACTCCCCATTTTTGGTTGGAGCTGCACTAGTCTACTTCGAGTGTACCATGTGCCGCGGTGGGTAAGCTGAGGTGTACGAAGCCAGATGGCCCAGTTGGAGGCCTGAGCAAGTTACACAGTCTCTCTGTACCTTGGATTCCTAATTTGTAAAATGGGGGTGACAATGACAGTCCCACTTCATGAGATTATTCTGAGCATCCGATCAGTCATACTGTTAGAGCAGTGATAGTGTTAGTGCTGTGATAGTGTTCTGTTATTGTTATTATTACTATTTAAGATGCAAAAGGGTGCCACCCCTGCCTTCTTTAAAAGGAAAAGTGTGCCCCAGATCACAGGCTGGCAGGAAAGCTGCTATGATTGTGGTCTGGCCGCGCTAGTGGATTGATTCTCGTAGACTTACGACGCTCTAGGCATACAGTGCTGCTCATCTGTTTCCATCCTCAAAGTCTTTATTAAGCACCTATCTATGCCTGTGTTCTGCTGAACAGGGTCCAGAGACACAGGATAGAAGTGGCCCTGCCCTCTGGGAGTGTCACAATCGAACCCAGACATCACAGGGACAGATAGAGATCAAGAACACGCAGACAGTGAGCCTGAGTGAATTACAGTAATATCAGGTACAAGAAAGAGATGCATGTTTAAAAGCAGCCAGTGGGTGGGGTGTCTATTCAAAGAGACAAGTGGGGGAATTTGCTACCTTATTCCCAATTAGTCAGGGACGGCTTCTCTATTGCTGCTGGAGACCAAGTGAGAAAAATAGATTTCCACTGCAAGGCTGAGGTTAGACTGATGGAAGCAGAAGAGATGTGCCACCCCCTGACTGCCGTGGTGGATTTTGTCTTTGTGCCACCTCCAGGTGCTCCGCAAACAGCACCTCCAGGTACCTCGACAAAGAAGTGAACCGCCTCCCAGCTGGGCAGCTGGGGAGTGCCTGGAGGTGGGCACGAGGATGAAATCCACCATGGCAGTCAGGAGTGGGGTGGGAGGCACCTGTTCTGGATGTAAAGGAAAGCAGGAAATGCATCCGGAAGAGTTTAACAGGCTTGGTCTGCCTTTTTATTCTTTGTGGGGCTGGCTTCCCTTCCCCTTCTCTGTGTTCAGAAGGGGTGAGAATAGTATGGAGTGTTTTAGTCAGTGTTTGGGGTCATTGTGGAATAAGATAAGGGCTTTTCAGGGCTCAGGGGAACCTGGAGACCCTGAGATGCAATGAGAACCCTGAGAATGGAGATCCAGTGGAACGTTTTAGAAGTGACCCAAACAGTGTACTTATTCTTCTTAGCACTATGGTTCCATTTTGCATTTCTTTGTGTGATTATTTAATATCTGTCTGTGCAATGACTAGACCTACCCCTAACATTTATGGGCCCTAGGGTGAGAGTACAAATGGAGGTTCACATCCCATAGGTCAAAATATTTAAAAGTAATAAATCCAGCTAATAAACTGTTAAACAAAATACATTCTACCCTCCTATCCTGACAAATACACCTTCAAAACAGCTTGGGAGACAGGATGGAGTTAGAACTTTTGGATTTTTCTGAAGTCTGTGCTAGCTAAATGGGGGCATCTGGCCTTTGGTCAACTGGCCACTCTGAT